ATTGCATTTTTGTAGTTGATAAAAATCTTGAAAAAGTGTTAACATTAAACATTCGCTCATATTCATAGACTTTTCATTCCACTAGCTACCAAGCAATTTATCTTGGTGTACAATAAATACTGTCAACGACTTTTTCATACATCCGATTGTCCAAAACTTATTTTCCCTTTTATATTGACAAATCCAAACTCCAAAACAATTATGCTAATGGCGGTCAAACCAAGGCAAATAAGTAAATAACCAGAGCAAGCATCATCTGGTTGCACATCGTGTGGTAGAATGCGTATCCATATATGTATATACGTTACAATCTGAGACCAACGCTTTATAAGAAACCGCTAGCGGTTGCTTTCATTGGCCCCTACATATTTCCAAGTTCTAACTACAAATAGGATCTCTCTCTCTTTGCTTTCTCCAATCAGTTAACTTGATCGATCGTCACAATCATCTTTCCTGACACTTGATTTTCTTCATGTAAGTTTTGCATCAAGACTTCAACTTTAACGTGTATGTATGCATCTTTTATTTCCATAAGTACATGTATGTATATGCAACTTGTGCATGCGCTTTTATGGGGGTATGTCTGTCATGTCTAGTGGTCACCAAGTTATCTTCTAATACTTTATAATTGTCTTGTAAAGAAAGGTCTCTTCTTGCCTTTTTAAACTTTCTGTGCTTTCTTAACTTTTTTCCATCTACTCTGTTTTCCCTTCTATCTTCCCGCCCCCCAACCAAAAGAAACATAAAGTCCCCCATTAAAAAAACGTTAAAAAGTTGAAATCTTTACGAAATTATCAGCAATCTGAAGTTGAACTGTTCGTAGCGTGTTTGAAGTTGAAGAAGTGCAGAGAGGTTAGAGATGGATAAGCAGTTTGCAGTGAAGGTGGAAGATGGAAGAAAAGGCGTTGATGGTGAGCCATCTGTTGGTCCGATTTACCGTAATCTTCTAGCGAAAGATGGGTTCCCCCCTCTTGATGCTGACTTAAAAACTACTTGGGATGTCTTTAGGTGATTCATGTTTCTTGTATTGTCTTATTGTTAATTTCTTTACATCAGTGGAATACATACCTAAAGTGATTTTTATTCATGATTCTGCAGGAATTCTGTTGAAAAATATCCCAACAACAAGATGTTAGGATGGCGTGAGCTTGTTGACGGCAGCGTATGTATTTTCGGCAGCTTATGTGCGACTGTGGGAGCCACAGCCACCCTATAAACACTATCCATATTTAATTATTATTTTATTATTATTATTATTTTCAGTGGGGGCCATATATATGGAAAACTTACAAGACTGTATACGAGGAGGTTCTGCATGCTGCTTCTGCGATTAGGGCTTCCGGAATCGGAGCTGTAAGGATTATGAATAGTTTCCAGTTCCAGAGTTATCATGTGGTCCATTGAACCTTTTTTGGTTTTACCTTTTTAACTTTTTATGTGATTTATGTATGATAGGGCTGTAAAGTGGGAATCTATGGATCAAATTGCCCTCAATGGATTGTGGCAATGGAGGTCAGTTTTCAGCCTTCTATTCTTTTGATAAAATTTAGTTTCTGAAACTTTTGTTGTTTGTTGATTTCTTCTTTTTTGCATATACTCAGGCTTGCAATGCCCAGAGTTATATTTCTGTACCTCTCTATGATACCCTTGGTAAGTCACTTTTTTTTTTTTTTTTTTTTTTTGTATTTTGCTGATCAGAATGCTAATGTTTAGTTGTTTACTGTCCTTTTGTTTAAGCAGGACCAGGAGCAGTGAACTTCATATTAGACCATGCTGAAGTTGATATTGTTTTTGTCCAGGATAAAAAAGTAAAAGAAGTAAGGAATCAAAAACTTTCCAGATGTTGTACCAAAGTTGGTAAAAGTTTCAGACTTTTTATGAAGTGTTTTTGATTTTGCAGCTGTTGAATCCAGAATGTACGCATACTCAGCGGTTGAAATGTAAGTATCAGTTTTAAAGAGTTGCAATTACAGTTACAGGTAATTAATAAATGTGTGATTAAACTGTTACTGTTGTTCTTGTGTGGTTGCAGTGATTGTTTGCTTCACTTCAATGAAGGAGGAGGAAAAGGAAAAGGCAGATTCCATGGGGATAAAATCATATTCATGGAGCGAATTCCTTCATATGGTTAGAATTGTTTGTTGAATAACGTATTATTGTGTCTGATATTCAAATTATTTTTAATGCTTTGTTTTGTTGTGAGTAGGGGAGTAAAAATCCATCAGATCTGCAGACACCTAAAGCATCTGATATATGTACAATCATGTACACCAGTGGCACAAGTGGAGATCCAAAAGGTGTTATATTGACTCATGAAAATACTACAACAAACATAAGAGGAGTCGATCTTTTTATGGAACAATTTGAGGACAAGGTTTGTGTTCTTGTTCTTGAACACTAATATCATGGTACCTTTGTTTTCTTAATTACTATCCTGATTTTTTGATATTTTATGGTGGGACCACTTTAGATGACAGTGGATGATGTTTATTTATCTTTCCTGCCTCTTGCTCACATCCTAGACCGTATAATTGAAGAATATTTTTTCCGTAATGGTGCTTCGGTTGGGTTCTATCATGGGGTAAATGAATCTCTTCAACTTGGAATCTTTATTTGGATGCTTGAATAAACGGATTGATTAGCATAGTTGTTGACCTAAATCCATTTAATTGTTACTTTTCAAAGAATATCAACGAACTGAGGGAAGATATGATGGAGCTGAAGCCAACATTTTTGGCTGGAGTACCTCGAGTTTTGGAAAGAATTCATGAAGGTGCAAAAATTTGGATCTCATTGTTATAAAACGACAATCTTTTTCACCTTGTTTTTTTTTTTTTTTTTTTTCTTTCAGGTGTGCTTAAAGGATTAGAAGAAGTTAATCCAAGGAGGAGGAAAATATTCAACATTCTATACAACTAGTACTGAATCTACTACTACTTGTTCACTAGCTCTGATGTTTTTGTTTTTTGTTTTTTGTTTGGAGAAGGATATGATTGATTTATAATGTTGTTTTGCAGCAAACTTAGATGGATGAAAGCAGGTTACAAGCAGAAATACGCATCACCACTTGCAGATCTTCTTGCTTTCAGGAAGGTTAAGAACAGACTGGGTGGTAGGATCCGTCTTATTGTATCTGGAGGGGCTCCATTAAGCAGAGAGGTAGAAGAGTTCTTGAGGGTTACCTCATGTGCTTTTGTGTTGCAAGGATATGGTAATGCAATAGATGATAAATTTATATATAAAAAAATCAGTGGTTGATTATATAAGTTATGCATTGTTGATATTAATTTTTTGTTGCAGGGATGACAGAGACGTGTGGTTTGGCTACTTTAGGGTTTCCAGATGAAATGTCGATGCTTGGGGCTGTTGGTTCGCCTTTTGTATATACAGATATGCGTCTTGAAGAGGTTCCAGAAATGGATTATGATCCATTGGCTGATCCACCACGTGGTGAAATATGTCTCAGGGGGAAAACTTCATTTGCTGGATATTACAAGAATCCAGAGCTCACCAATGAGGTCATGCAAGATGGATGGTTTCATACAGGTGACATAGGAGAGATGCAACCAAACGGGGTGTTGGTGATTATTGACAGGAAGAAACATCTGATAAAGCTGTCTCAAGGGGAGTATATTGCACTTGAATATCTAGAGAAAGTTTATGGCATCACGCCCATTGTTGAAGATGTAAACATTAATTATTCATCTTCACAAACGAGTTTTATAAATTTATTTATTCTCAGACTGAAACTGATATGTGTATTAATTAATGATTAGATTTGGGTGTACGGGGATAGCTTCAAGTCATCTTTGATAGCAGTAGTGGTACCAAATAAAGAGCAGGCTGAAAAGTGGGCGCTTCAAAACGGGTTTAAAGTTTCGTGGTCTGAGCTGTGTAAACTCAGGCAGTTACAAGATTATATCATCTCTGAGCTTAAATCTACTGCACAGAGAAACAAGGTATTTTGCTTTTGCTTTGCTATATTTTTAAAATTTTTGTTTGAAGATGATATCTAATGGTGATTGGTGATTGGTGGTTGTAGCTAAGAGGTTTTGAACATATTAAGGGTATAATTACGGAGGAGAGAACATTTGAAGAGGAAAAAGATTTGCTGACTGCAACTCTGAAGAAGCGAAGGGATAAACTTATGAACCGTTACAAGGTAGTTTTGACTTTTGATTGACTCTTTCTTTAACTACATATGACATGATGATGAATAATTGTATGATATGATATGATGATGCATTCAGGTGGGAATTGATGATCTCTACAAGAGCTTCACAGTCAACAAACGCTGAGATATATATATATATATATATATATATATATATATATATATATATATATATATATATATATATTATGTTTATAGCAACTGCATGCAGCAGTGTGGCTGTGGGTGGGTTGGTTGTTGCATGGTCATTGGTCTGGTCGGATGATGATTTTTTTTTAACTTGTTTGTGTCTTTCATTTCACTGGTTTGTAATCTATAAAAGAGATTTTATTTGCATATTTATTGAAATTAATAATTTTTTAGAGTCTTTTTGGCCTGAATTTGAGGCAGAAACTGAAAATTCAAAACTAGAAACATTTGTTTTAAGAGAGAAAGAGAGCTTTGATGTTGCAACTTGAATTTTCTAGCCCAGCGGTGGTGCCCTCCCTCTTTGAGGTTGAGGGTTCAAGTTCCGGTGTTAGATCAGGAGTAGATTTATATATTTGTATTTGCCGGTTCAAAAAAAAAAGGTACGGGTAAATTGACCGAAAAAACAAACGGGAACCACATAAGGGTATTCGGTTCCTTGAATTTCCATTTTCTGGGTTGGGTAGGTAACCTGTCTCATTCCAATACTAAAGAACGCAACTAGAATCAGAACCAAATCAGTTCTTTGAATTTCTATTTTTCGGTTCAGTTAATCTCATCCCTAGTGATAAGCATTCACATGGGCATAACACACCTTGCATGGTAAACATACCCAAAGCCTAAATGTTGATGAAAAATCATGGCATATTTCAGAAACAGAAAGAAAGCATTACTTGCAGCTCTTTTTTTCCAGATGTTAAAAAAGGTTAAATAGAACGAAACAGACAACATTGAACTGATTTAAGATTATTCAATTCAGACAAAACCAGCCAACCAACCAACTGTTGCTAAACTAAAGATACATGATAAAATATTGCTGGCTCAGCCTCCAATAACCTTGGGAAAGACAAACACCCCCATTCCTCAGCTCAGGACCTTAAAATAATATTGAAAACCAAACCCAAATCATGAGTGGAGTGGAGTGTTGTTCTCTATCTTCTGTTTCTGCTCTCCTCCTTGTCTTTTTCCCTTTTCTTGTACAGCTTCTCTAGAACCCGCTTGGCTTCACATTGTGGGAAGTTGTCAAGATCATAGTAATGTGGAGCAATATCAACAATCCTAAAAATAAAAAAAAATAAAAAAAAAAAGAATGTCAGAAAAACTGCCATTAAAATAAGAATACAATAACACCAAAAATAATATACTAACCATTCACCCCGAACATCTGTAACAGTGCGTATAAAATTCCTGCTTGTCAACACATATTCATTGTAAATAACCCATTCTGGCTTGTGGTCCAGACAGTTTGATGGGTGCAAATGAACCACCTGCAATGCAAAGCAAAAGAGATAAGATTATGGAAAGTAAGTAGGTTTGTGTGTTGAAACAAGTTAAGGAGGTATACTACTACTACTACTGACTTGATTATCTTTGACAGTCAAATAATGTCCAGTACGTTCCAAATGTGCAACCTGCATGAAATAGCCTGCCAGCATGGCTTTCCTGATGTTGATGTAATAATCCCGGCTGTTGAAATCTGTGCTGCATAACTTGAGGTTGAACCTTGCCATGATCCGAGCCAGCTGTTGCCTCACATTATCAGCAGACTTGAGCGCCCTTTGATTCACAAAGTTCTCATAACACCATGATTGATCATCATCTGTACATGAAAACTTTATTATTATTGTTTCCTTCCTAAAAAGGGATGATGAGAGAGGGGCTTACTGTTTTGCTTGTAGGCATGATACACATTCAAGAGCGTGAGATGATCCCCATCGATGTGTCCAAATCTTGCTTTTGCCTCGTCAGCAGCCTTCTGAGCTTCTCTAGGCCGTACAAAGCAATTGGGTACTAAAGAAAAAATTGGGTTATCACAGAGGAGGCCCACGTTTGGTCAGCAGAGTCCATTTGCTAAGAGCTTCATCACAGAGAATACTGAGAAATTGCAACTATCTGTATCTGCATCAGCACTTGCACTTGCTTACAAATTGTATGGTATGCATGCCATTGCCAACCAACAGCATGGAACCCAAACAACTACACTTGCTGATGTCACCCTACCTAAACACTCCTCTTTTTTTTTCTTTTTATAGTTTTAGAAAAAATATATATATATATTACAACTTACATACCTGATAGCATAGCCGAGATGGAAAGAATTTCATTAGAACAGTTGAATTCAGGGCTCACCACAAGCATCTTCCCCATCTGAGGATCTAATGGGAACTCGCTCATGATTTCACCCAACTTTGTCAGGTTTCCTTCATCATCCAAAGCGCCCAAGTAATTCAAAACCTCTAAAGCACGCATCAAAGTCTCAGGGGCAGGAGGGTCCATAAAATCAAAATGAACCAGATCATCTATACCAAGTTTCTTCAAAGTAAGAACCGTATTTGCCAGATTGGATCGAAGGATCTCAGGGTAGGTCTGAGGTTGAAGATCATTATTGAAACTTTTCTCTGTGTAGAGCCTAAAACATTTACCAGGCTGTGTTCTTCCAGCACGCCCTGATCTCTGGTGAGCACTTGCTTTTGATATTGGAGAAACCAATAAAGACTCGACACGTACACGCGGATTATAAACCTTCTGCTTTGCAAAACCAGGGTCTATCACATAAACTATGCCATCTATGGTTAAAGAGGTTTCTGCAATGTTTGTTGAAATCACAATCTTCCTTCCAGCAGGACCACCTTCTGTCAATGGAGGTGGAGCAGGTTCAAATATCTTCTGCTGCATGGCTGGAGGGAGAGTTGAATACAAAGGAACAACTTTCACGGGACCCACCTGGTCTCCCATGTTTCCAACTTCTTTTGTAATTTTCCGACATGCATCTTCTATCTCCTCCTCTCCGGTTAGAAAAACAAGAATGTCGCCAGGTGGCTCACACATGTGTATTTGCACCACTGTTCGGATTGCTGCTTCAAGGTAGTCCCTTTCGGGTTCTTGAGTGTAGAATATTTCAACAGGGTGAAGTCTACCTGGAACTTTCATTAATGGTGCACCGAAGAAATAACCCTGAAACTTTTCAGCTTCAAGAGTAGCACTCATTACAACCAGCTTAAGATCGGGTCTGTTCTTAAGGACTTCCTTTAGAAGCCCAAACAAAACATCAGTAGCTAATGTTCTCTCATGAGCCTCATCAAGAATTATCACTTTATACCTCTCCAGAAGTGGATCTGTCATGGCTTCTCTCAAAAGCATACCATCTGTCAAGTACCTATACAACCAGAGGATGAGCATCATTCAGTCGAATAATCAAAGTAAGCAGATATCATTTGCAACTATCAGTGTTTACAAAAGCTTACTTCAAGACAGTTTTGGCACTGCTGCAATCTTCAAAACGAATGCTGTAACCCACTTCCTCTCCAATTGTTACATCCATTTCCTCTGCAACTCTACGGGAAACTGACATTGCAGCCACCCTACGAGGTTGGGTACAACCAACCATGTATTTCTTGCGTCTATCAGCACTCTCTACCTCCACAGCTTCCAAGACAAACTGAGGAATCTGTTGTTGACGATATAACATTCAATATTATAGTTCAATCTCACATGATCAACATGTTATATGGTTCTATCGTAACAATGTCAGATAATCACTTTCAAAACCTACATCTAAAAATCCCCTTAAGCCGAAGGACCAGAGAATTAAAACAATATATCTATGAAACCATAACAGTGTCATGAAAATACAATTTCTCATCACAAATAAATGGTTACACGGCTGATCTCGAAGATAAAACAAGAAATAAATGAAGATAGAATAAATATCCATGGCAAAATCATCAAAAAATAGCAAAATGGAAGTGTACCGTCAACATAAGGCAATGAACTAACCTGAGTTGTTTTACCACTACCGGTTTCTCCGACTAAAATAAGCGTCTGATTCTCTTTGAGTACTTTCAAAAACTCTTCTTTCTGATGCCAAACTGGTAGAGTCTTCCTCTTCTCCAAGATATCAAAATAACGCTGTGAGTAAGGGCGTCCATTCCAGCTGTTCACGAGAGACATACCACCCGTGCTATTGTTGATACCATGAACGGCGCCTCCGCCGTTTGCTTTGTTAACCTTAGCGGTCGCTGTGGCTTCATCTACGACGTCGAACAAGCTCACCTTCCTTTTCCTTTCTGTACCCATCTAACCCTAATCCTAGTTATCGAAGAAATCCCAAATCTTTCTCAATAACCACCGGTTGGTTTGCAGCAAATCCCCTAAATATGTGTAGAGAGTCTCTGATATAAGGAAGTCAGAAACCCTAATACGAGTTCCAAGTGGAAAGAGAAACGATAGACGTCGGCTTGAACTTTATATACAATACACCGTAACAACCAAAACATTATTTAATAAAAAAAATGGCAATTTTTTTTTTAAGGTTATTGCCTTTATAGCCAATGTAAAAGTAAAATCATTTTATTCCCCGTTTATCACTCACACTCGTCCGATTACTTTTTTTAACTGAACCTTTAAAACTCTCTATTTACACTTATAGTAGAGGTGGTTCTCCCTCCCAGCCAATGGCTCCCCCACCTCACACGTTCTTCCTCTGCATCCATATTTATTTACACGTAATCATCAGAGGTTTTCAGGCAACAGTCCGGCCTCCTACATCCCTCCTCCTCCCTCCTCTTTCTATGTCTAATGTTCCCCTGACCCCTGCTGCTTCAATTGCTCTCCACCATGTTAAGCTCAACAATGGAATTAGGGCTTCTATAAGACTTTCACAGGGCAACCCTGATGAAATAGTAGAAATTCATAAAATTATTCATAAGTCTTTACATCAGGATAACACCTATATATACCAGGTGAGAGAGAGACCAACCAAAGGACTCATAACAGAAAAGAAACTGAAGCCCAAGAGTTTAGCTTATGATGCAAAAATAAAAACGGAAACAAAATAAAGCAAATGACTCAAAAAGACCCGTAACAATACCCTCCGCTTCCAAACAATCCTTGGCCTCAAGGATTATAGTTGGCCCATACATCAAATTCTGGGAATCGTCTTTGTAGATCATTGTAATCTTCCCAAGTGCTATCTTCAATCTCTGTGTTAGTCCATTGAACTAGAACTTCCGAGCTAATCTTATTCTTTTTCTTCACCATTCTTTTATCCAAAATCTTCAAGGGCAGAAGCATAAATTCTCTGTTGTCAGACACAGGGGGTAAGCCACTTACAAGGTTGTGATCTCCCAGTTTCTTCTTCAATAGGGACACATGAAATACATTATGGATCTTTGAGGAAGAAGGTAATTCCAATCTATAGGCGACTTTTCCCACCCTTTCTATCACCCTAAATGGTCCATAATATTTTGCTGCCAATTTATGGAACACCCTTTTGTTTACAGATTGTTGTCGATAGGGCTGTAATTTCAAATAAACCCAATCCCCCAATGCAAGGACCCTCTCACTTCGATGTTTATCTGCATGGAATTTCATTCGTTGTTGAGCTTTCGTCAAATTTTCGTTGAGTAGCCGGATGGTGGTCTCTCTAGCTTTCAGTGTAGCGTCTACAGACTGATTAGCTGAGTCCTTAGGGTGGTAATGAATGTAGTTGGGGGGGTGACTGACCAAAAAGAGCTTCATACAGCGACATACCCAGGCTGGAGTGATGAGACATGTTATAGCAAAACTGAGCTAAAAGGAGCCACTTGGCCCACAATGTGGGAGTATCTAAGGTAAAACACCTCAAATATGTCTCTAAGCATCTATTCACAACCTCCGTTTGACTGTCAGACTCTGGATGGTATGCAGTAGAGTAGGCTAAGGTCGTCTGATGTGCTTTAAATAATTCCTTCCAAAAGTTACTTAAGAAGATTGGATCTCTATCAGATATAACCTTCGCCGGCATACCATATAATTTTGACACTTGTTCCATAAATACTTGAGCTACCATCGCGGCGGTATATGGGTGCTTCAAGGCCATAAAATGACTGAATTTGCTTAGTTTATCCACAACCACAAGTATTGTAGTGTTGCCCAAAGACTTGGGCAAACCTTCAATGAAGTATAGAGAAATGGCCTCCCAAAATCTATTGGGCATCTCAATCGGTTGAAGCAGCCCTGGATATGCCGACGTGTCATATTTGCATTGCTGGCAAACGTGACATTCCCTTACAAAAGATCTTACATCAGCTTGCATTCCCTTCAATTAGACTGCATTTGAAAGCCTTTGTGTTGTTGCGTGGACTCCAAAATGACCCCCAGACGCGCTTGAATGAAAGAATGTAATGAGGTCCTGTTTAAGTATCTTATCATCCCCCACAACCAACCTTCCTTGCTTCATGAGTGACCCATTAACCATGGAGTACTTGCTCCCTATAGTCGAACCATCTTTGAGTGCATCAATTATTCCTTGTAGTTTTCCATCTGTATAGACACTTTCTCGAATTTTATCTTGCCATCCCGAGAAAATGCTTGATATGGCTATACAAGTGGTTGGCGGCAAAGGAGTCGATCTTCTTGAAAGAGCATCTGCTACCAGGTTTTCTTTTCCCTTTTGGTATTGCACAGAGTACTGTAGGCCCATGAGTTTGCTTAACCATTTCTGCAAGGTAGGATTGCACTTCTTTTGCTCAAGTATATGCTTCAACGCTTGGTGATCCGTCTTAATAACAAAGGGCATGTCTAACAAATATCCCTTCCACCTTTGGATGGCAGCTATTATAGCTAGTAATTCCCTTTCATATGTGGCCAACATTAAATGTTTAGGGCCCAAGGCCTTGCTGAAAAAGGCAATAGGGTGATTAGTTTGAATTAACACCGCTCCTATACCCACACCCGAAGCATCTGTCTCGATGATAAATGGTTTGTCAAAGTTAGGTAAGGCCAACACCGGAGGAGCTTGCTTTAATTCATGAAAAGCTTCATCAGCATCTTGACCCCAAATAAAACACCCCTTTTTGAGCAAATTCGTTAGAGGTTTTGCTATCTTTCCGTAATTCCTTACGAACCGCCTATAGTATCCAGTAAGACCCAAAAATCCTCTCAACTCTTTAATATTTTTTGGTTTTGGCCAAGTCACCATATCTTCAATCTTTTTTGGGTCCGCTTTAACTCCATCAGCACTAATCACGTGGCCTAAATAGTCCACTTGTCGGCTGCCAAAAGAGCATTTCGAAAATTTGGCGAATAAGGATTGTTGTCTCAGAATGTCAAGCACCATACCCAAATGTTGTAAGTGTTCCTCCCAACTTTGACTGTAAACGAGGATGTCGTCAAAAAAAACTAAGACAAACTTCCTTAAATATGGTTTGAAGATTGAATTCATTAAATGTTGAAATGTTGTCGGGGCATTTGAGAGGCCAAAAGGCATAACGACAAACTCATATAACCCCTCATGAGTCCTAAAAGCAGTTTTTTTAATATCTGTTTCCCTCATCCTTATTTGATGGTAGCCGCTCCGCAAGTCTAGCTTCGAAAAATAGCAAGCTCCATGCAATTCATCAATAAGCTCTTCAACAATAGGTATAGGGAATTGATTCTTTACTGTGAGATGGTTGAGCTTTCTATAATCAACACAGAACCTCCAATTGCCATCCTTCTTTCTTACCAGAACCACCGGTGAAGCAAACTCGCTATGACTTGGTCTGATCACACCAGAATTTAACATCTCTTGTACCAACTCTTCAATTATAGTTTTTTGTAGGGCCCCATATCTATATGCTTTTAAATTAACTGGATTGCTTCCCTCCTTTAATGTGATACCATGATCTAGTTGCCTGGTGGGTGGCAAGGACTTCGGGTTTGCAAACACATCTTCAACATCTCACGTCTCATAGGTTCAGTTTCGTCAGCAGCTTCTAACTTGATGGACCATAACTGAGATGGTCCCTCAATGGACTCGAAAAGGTATGCTTGATCTTGATCTCACTCCCCCTGAAGCGTCTTACCGGTAGAATTCCCCAAACAGCCTTTATGTGCCCCTTCCAACCGAATAGTTCGGTCCTCACTTTGAAATTCCATAAATAACTCCTTGAAGTTACATGTTATATCCCCAAGCGTTGCTAGCCATTGAACTCCTAATACAACCCCGAATCCTCCAATCGTCATGGCTAGGAAATCCCCCTTGAATGACACTCCATGGGTACACCATGATACTTCTTTACATACATAATGAATAGACAATTTAAACCCATCGGCTACCGACACATTACGGGGTTTAGTGGGTGTAAGCTTGAGGCCGAGCCTTTTAGCCCACACCAAGTCTATGAAATTGTTGGTACTACCACTATCAATAAGCATCAATAGAGATTGTTTCTTCACTATACCCCACACTTGAGAGTCTGGGGACCCAAAGAACCCAGTAAAGCGTGAATGGAAATTGTAGTTTCCCCTGTCACACCTTCGTTTATTTCGGTATCAGCCAAATCATGGAGCCCTTCTTCGTCAATAAAATTATCTTGCTCTTCCGGACAAATAAGCATAAAGAGCCTACTGTTGCACTTATGCCCTGGTGTGTATCTTTCGTTGCAGTAAAAACATTGATTATTCTTCCTCTGTTCTTCAAGTTCCTTTTTAGATAGTTGTCTCATCGGTGATCCCTTATAATGGGTGTTAGAATGGAAGTTGTGCGTATTTTTAGGAACATACCTCAGTATGGTTGAGTTCTGGTTATTATTTCTTCGCGGATTATAGGGTGAGGGTCGTGAATTGTTGTGCAGCGGGACAGGGGGGACAGATGGAAGGAACTTAGGTGCAGGAAGTAAAGTGGGTGCTGGAGATGAAGAAACATTTTCGTTTCTGGCTCCGAGGTTAGAAGTTTGTTGAGGGAGATTGGTATACTCGGGAGGTTTTGGAGGGTCTAATCCCCATAATGAATACAAGGCGCCTTCCTGTAGTCTGGCTAATTTCATTGCCTGACTTAAGGATTTGGGATCCAATAACTGGACTGTATGCATGATCTCATTTGAGAGTCCTGCGATGTACAAATCTAGTAGCATATGTGTTGGAACACTAACTTGATTACGAAGGGAATTAAATTGGAAATTGTAATCGCTTACGGTCGAAGATTGTTTGAGATTCCGGAGTTCAATCAAAGGTTTAGATACCACTCCCTCAACAAATTGTTCCCTAAGCTCCTGTAAATATGTCTTCCAGGGCACTTGATTGCCTTCCGACTCCTTCATAAATCCCTGGTGCCATTGGAGTGCCCGACCCTTCAAATGAATTGCTACCAAACGAATTTTCATGTCCTCTGGAGTATTGTCTAATTCAAAAAACTGGTTGCACTTATAGTGCCAATCTTTGAAGCCATCCCCATCAAACGATGGGAATTCTAATTTAGTCATCCTATTCACCAATTGGTACC